TGTAGTTAGAAGAGCCAATACATTATCTAGCGTGGTTAGTGTGCCCAAGAGATGATATTGCTATTATCACTCTTACTAATACTATAGTAGACATTATTATATCCGTAAGAGGTAATAAATTTACAGTTTAATACACAAACGCATACATAATAAGTATTGATCTAATTTGAACTATCTTTTTAGAGTGTTTGTCAGTGTCACAACATAGAAACGAAAGAATTCTTTCGTGTCTTGAACGATATAAACCTATTTTTGCCAATCAAATGATTTTAGTAGATGTTGTGTTAGGATTGTGGCCAGTTACCAACTCCTTAGATTTAATGAAGAAACTCGTAAGATTCTCTAGATTTGAAACTCTTTTATGATTGGGCATCACTAATTTGTGATTATAATATAGGTAAATTTTTGCATAGAAAATCATAATGAACAACATAACGTGTCATCCAGGTTGGATTATATTTATCATTGCTATTGACTCATTTGAATTTAAATATCTTAAATATTGACCTTTAACTGATATTTGCTCATTAATATTATTTAATAGACAGAATGATAGTGTTAATTTAACGACATTAACACTTATTCTAGATTATTTCTACGAAACGCAAGTTACAGAAAACAATCCTGAAATGAAAGATTTCTTAAATAACCTGCAAGAGTTATATAAAAGTTCATTATCATCGGTAACCTTTTGTATATAATAATATCGTCATAATTTTTAATTTTGTGAACGTTTCGAAATATACAGTGAGGCTTAAGTTTTCGCAAAGTTGTATATTCAGGTATAACGTTCAAAATCCATTGTATATACGTACATACGTACCATAGTCACAAAATTACCTATAAAGGAATATCGGTTGATACGTAATAGCTTTTGATTAAGGCGTATTATCATGTGACAAATGTGACGAGTAATTGTTAAAAATGATGTCGAGATCAAATGTCAATTAATTTTTTAGATTATCATTACCCGCAGTGTAACATCCTATTTTGTACCCCAGATAAATTATCATAAATTTAAGCCCAAACGTTTAGGCGAAATTTGGCAAGTTGACATCTGGGCTGCCCCGACTGTTAATCATTTGAAAAAAATATTAAATAATAAAACGATTCTCCTTATAAAATAATTATAAATAATTATAAATAATTTAAAATTTGGTTAATAATAATTTTCGTATAAACGTTGATTTTTTTTGTCATGTTTGGTAAGTGTATCGAATAGTCAAGAAAAAAATTATTCAACATTATATTTAAAGTGTTCGATTGTATCAAAAACTATTTTAACATTATGTTTAAAGTATTCGATTGTATCAAAATTTGTCTTTTTTATAGAGCACGTTGATACTCAACCTGAGAACAGATTTTCATCGTTGGTTCATGATCAACAAATCGTAATTGTACCAGAATTTACACTTGAATCTGGTTATACATTGCATCGAGTTCCAGTGGCGTACAAAACTTGGGGGAGGCTTAATGCAAACAGAGATAATGTAATGGTAATATGTCATGCACTTAGTGGAAGCGCTGATGTTCAAGATTGGTAACTAGACTAAATTTGAAATTTTGAAAAATTTAATATTGGTTAAAGTCATTTAAAATATTGCATATTATTAAGGTGGGGACCTCTAATTGGAAAAGGAAGAGCTTTTGATCCCACAAAATATTTTATTTTTTGTGGGAATGTTCTTGGATCACCTTATGGTACTGCATCTCCAGTTACGATTAATCCTGAAACAGGCAATATATATGGCCCAGAATTTCCTTTGACAACGCCCCGAGATGACGTCAGGTATTCTAATACTAAATTGTATCTACAATTTTTTTTTTCTTCCAATTAATAATCAACCAATTTTTTGAAATACAAGGCTCCATAAAATAATTCTTGATATGTTAGGCGTCAAACAGATTGCCATATGCATAGGCGGTTCCATGGGTGGTATGCAAGTGCTTGAGTGGTCATTTTTTGGAATTGAATATGTAAAGACAATTATTCCTATTGCCACTTCTGCTCGACAATCCGCATGGTGTATAAGTTGGAGTGAGGCTCAGAGACAATCTATTTATAGCGATCAAAAATATCGTGGGTATTTTTACTGGTATTATTGGGTTTATTTTGAGTCATTTAAAATTTTTAACCAACTTATAATTTAAGATAATGGGTTTTATCGATTAAATGAGGTATTACTATGTTCAAATAATTGAGAAATTTATTTTAATTTATATATTCATTGGCGTCAATTTTTTTTGTAGCAACCAGCAACAGGTCTTGCAGCTGCACGCATGTCTGCGCTTCTAACATATCGTTCTCGAGATTCTTTCGAGTCTCGATTTGGTCGTACATATCAAGATTTAAATAAAAATGCAACAGTCAATGGTTTCTCATTCGTTAAAGCAAAAACACCAGCGGAGTACGCTTTATTACTACATAATGATGGTCTTCGATGTAATAATGTTAATGGTAAGTCTTTAAAGTCAAGGGATCAAAACGGAAACAATAATATAGCCTTAAAACAAGCAAATATCCAAGATAACGATAATATTGAGCCACTTGATAACAAAGAATATAATCAGGAAAACAACAATGTACATTCAACTGCTGCTGTACCGCATTTATTTTCAGCACAGTCATATCTTAGATATCAAGGTGATAAATTTGTAAAAAGGTTTGATGCTAATTGTTATATAAGTCTTACACGAAAGATGGATGCTTATGATATAGCAAAAGATAGAGGTGATTTGAAGGAGGTATTAGGTAGCATTAAACAACCAACATGTATAATCGGTAAGTACTGATATCTATCACTTATTTACGACATTATTTGGAATTTCTGTGTCAAAATATTTAATATCTCTTTTTCATTTAAGGAATCGAGTCAGATGGTCTTTTTACTATATCTGAACAATATGAGTTGGCAGAATTTATACCAAATTCTGAGATGGTAACCATTAAATCGCTGGATGGACATGATGGTTTTCTTATCGAGTTTGATCAGATGAATCGACATATTCTTCGCTTTACTCGTACACATTTATCTGAAATATTTGAGGAAGAATCATGTGAAAGTGATGGTATAGAAGAAGAAAAATTGGTGGCTACCAAAAATAGTTTGTTTGGTGAAGCAGAAGTTGAGTTTCTTTAAATAAAGCTTTCAAAAAAACTTTTTTTTAAGTACACAACGATTTGTATATTTATTCCTTTAGATAAAATACGATTTGTATACTTATTCTTTTAGATACAACATGATTTGTATCTCTATTAATGGTTTTCTTAAATTTGGCGTCAGCTACTGATACACGATAGATAAATTCCTTTTCATGTACCGTGATTGAATAGGTATCATACGAGCCAAACTATAACTATCGCATAACCATGATCTTCCCGTATTTTATAGAAGTATGTATTTTCCACTAATTAGAAGCATTTATTTAAACTTGCATTTTAACGTATCCTTTTTGAAATCGAGTAATCACAAAAGGTTTTGCATTAGTGGAAGATTCGTTTAACGTACGATATTCCAGAAGACTTGATTTCAACGAAAGTTCATATTCCAATAATCCAAAAAAGATGATTAAATTGAAACTTTTAAAATTGAAACCTTGAATTTATCCCTTAATCTTATCAATAGAACTCATTTCGTCCAAAATCATTTTAAAGTCAATAATTCTACTCAAAATTACAATAAATCTATTCTGGCATTTATCTAATTAGCGAATATTATTTGCTAACTAAGCAGAATGCTTTATCTAATAACATGTTTGCTTTTTATCAAAGTCAATTACTGATGGATAAGATCATTCCTAAGTATATCATTAAAGAATTGATACCGTATTTCACGTAATAACGCCCATCTGCCGTTAGGTTTCTCCAAATTAATTCTTTGTTTAATATAACCTTCCCTTATTTTTAAAACTTTACATGAAAAAATTATATATTATCTGCGCGTTAGGTCGCTCCAATTGATTATTTAATAACATAACCCCTTCTTATTGTTTAAAAATTTACATGAAAAAATAATATTAACCAAATTGTATTACTTTTCATATTTTTTATATGGTTTACGCCGAAGGAAAATCAGACATCGGGCTTTCAATTATATTTTTTTCCGGACTCAAACTTGAGAAATTGAATCAGTAACGTATCAAGCATGTATACAAAGAATTTTCTAATCATTCGACGAATCAATCAATCGGAAACGATTAGAAGCTTGATTTCTATTACTTATCATAAATCAGATCTTACACAGACTGATTTCGGTCAATAATAAATTCGAAAGCCCGAGTCTGGTTTTCTCTTGGCGACACATTTTTTACAGCCAATATATCTGTATTTTTATTAATTGTTGTTTTTTTTATGCCCTTCTCTCTCTTACGAGACATTTTCATATGTCCAACAAAGAATTAATTTGTAGTGATTTTATTGAGAGTACGTGCATGGGCCTTATTTTTGAGGCATGATCTTCAAAATAACGCCTATAGATCGTTTCTTAAATCTCTTCTTACCCAAGCCGATTAGCTGGTATGTATAATAGTTATTTGTCAATCGGAGTATTTGAAATATTCTGATTAAGCGAATTGAAGCCGCTCTTTTATGGGCACGCATTACTTTGAGACGCGCATGGGCATTATTTTGAAACTACGCATTCCATTTTCAAGGAGCGCGATTTTCTAAATAACGCTCACGGGCACTATTACGCGAAAATACGGTATGAAAAAAATATACATGAAAATATTATCTTTTTTTTTTCCATAGAATACTGACATAATCGTCCCTCGTTAATATCAACCCTTTTGGATCAGGTGATTATGTTGGGGTTGATATAGTCCGGGCTCAATTTTTTACGTTTAACTAATATTTGAGTTTCTAATAAATCAAATCCGGCCCGTTAGATCAAGACATATTCACACTTTACATTTCACGATTAAAAAATTTTTTTTTCTAGTCATGAAAAGTAAAATGTGAATATATCTTGATATACTGCACAAATTTGATTATTTTACTATATAGCATTATAATCGTATAAATTTCTCTACAACTTTTATAAGCTTAAGTGCAGTCTACTTGTAAAAATTTGAATCCGCTTTATAGTAATAAACAATTTTAATTTTTAGAAACTTTATTTTGCCGTTATTTTATATATTTTATGTGATTGCGATTCTTAATTTTTATTAGCTAAGGACATCAACGGGGGTAAATTATTTATAAAAATTTTTGTATCCATATTGATAATGATATTAATGAGGGATCATATTAAAGTTGATATATATGAGGGAATTTTAATATATAGAAATTTGTCCTATAGCTTAGGTTGACATTAACGAGAGGTTGATATTAACGAGGGTTGACTGTATTACAAATAATATGAATAATTTAATCTAATTTACGGGCAACCCAATTTACAAATTTTTATTGTGTATAAACGAAATATCAAAACTTGACATTGCTTTCTCGATTTAAAATAATCAAGCGCCTATTTATCAACATTCATATATTTTCCAATCAACTTATTAAAATACTCATAAGTAGAAAACTGTATAGCCCCGCCGGGAGCAATTCTAACACATCTTAAAGTAGCACCCTTAAAAAAAGATTTTAAACCTTCATTTTTTAACATTAATTTAACACATTCAAAGCTATTTTTGTATCCAACATTTTGATCTTGCATCCGAGTTTTCACAACATCAGGTGGTGAATTAAATATTCCTACAAGAATATTTGCTAAAAAACCTGATAAAGCATGTTGAAATGGTGTATTTTGACCATTGTTTAGACTTGCAAAGAAATCTTTAAATGTTGTATAGCCGGTAAACTAATTTTTTTTTAATACATGATCAGTAAACTAAGGAATTTGTTATTCATAATAAGTTATAAAGATTTACCTTGACAGCCAATCCCCAAGACTGTCTAAAAATAGTGGGAAGAAGTCCATTGTATAATGCTAATACGCTACAATAAATTATTTAATAAGTTTATGAAACAAATTTGCGTAAAAAGACCTATTATGTCATGAATTATATTTTACCCTTCTTCTTTTACAATATGCACAATAGTTGAAGGCATACTACGATATCTTTTCTGATTCAAATCAGTTTGTTGCCTTACTTTTATTAATTCAAGGGGTGTTACTAAAGTTGAAGCTTGTAAAATTCCTGTGCAAATCTAAACGATTAAGAAGTTATGAAACTATTTTATAAGAATATTTCTAATAATAGCGTATAATTTACCCCCGTAAAAGCTGAAGAACTAATATTAAAAACATGATAAGTAATTGATCTAATTTAATAGTTTTGTAATAAAACTTTTGATCTTTTTCAAACCTTCCGGGTGGTATTAAAATTCCTTCCATTCGGTCAAATATTGGTTTAAACATTGCTAAACCTGTATATTGTAATGAAACCCTAAAATAAATAGAAAAATACTTTAGTTCAATCTGATTAAAAAATCTAATATTCAATTTTTATTACCTTGGAGTTACAATACACATTACAGGCAATGTTCCCCGATACAAAGCTTTATATATGTATATATGTATATATAGATAATAAGTTAAAAGAAATCTAAATATTACAAAAAAAAATAATAATAATAATTACCAAGCACGCCCTCTTGGGATATAATTCTTCTAAATGAGTTTAATATTCCAATTCCATCATAATTAGAGGAAACACGTACTGACTTAATATCAATTATACAAAATTTTGGTTTAGTGTAATATAATCACAATCATAAATATTATAGTATTTCGTCGACAATGTTAAGTTACCTGAAATCTATATGAATGTAAAAATTTTATCAATAGGTTTATTTTGATTCAAGATTTATTTATTTATTTTTGCATTACCGTGTCTTCAAAACATCAGTAGGCTATATTTTAAGAAAAAGGTTAAATGATTTGACTATATCGTGATAATAAATTGAAAACATCCATCAACGACAAAACCTGCATGATGAGAACTTCTATGAAACTATTTTTACGAATTGCATTTGTATAATTAATCGAAGAATTTATCAAATTGGTATTTTTTTAAAATACATAATTAAATTGAAGTTTTTACCCAGCACCTGTGCCGGCTAAAGTTGACACAAAGATCTTTTTCTTTTGACTCTTTTTTGAAGACATCTTACGATATACGAAATGGAAATTTTTGATCTTTTTGATCCTTAATAAATTGATAAGATCATCAGGACGAATTATCACATGTGGAACGATTAGAATCTATTGTAGGCGAAATCAAAAAAAAAATTTTAAGCAATCACAGTTTTAAAATTTCTTTAATTAATGCGATTTAATAATCTACTATAAAAACGCGCATTTTCTAATATATATTTGGTTATATGGAACGTCTATAAATTCATAACCAACTTAAATGGATTGTGAATTCGTTTAAATAGATCTTTGGTTCTAAAATGATTTAAGTAGGAATTGAATCTTAAACCAAATTTATTACTATCATTATATGATATCAAAAGATCTGTCATCAAAGTTCAAATTTATTGCTTACCGGATTTGGTCTGTCTAATTTTCTAACGCTAAAGATTGTGTCCGATAAATTATGGATTTAAATGTCGTGTGTGGTTTTTCTCCGGCAACACCTAAGCTTATGTATCAGTTAACTACTACATAGGCAGAAATTCGTCTGATTGGCTAGCTTTGTAGATCAATTTGTAGATCTACATGTGATTATTAGCCAATCAAA